CAAAAATTATCACACGACTTTCAAGTGGATTGGATGAATCATGAAGAAATTGATCAGTATTTAATGTTTCATAAGGACTTGTTTCTTGAATTTCATCTAATGTCAATTTATGATCAATATTTTCTGGATCATTCGGAAGTATTTCAACTTCTTCAACTTCTGGTGCATAATGATATTGACCACGTAATTGAAGCTGTGATGATGAAATACCTAGAGAAATAAATAAATAAATCAAATTATTCTTAGCATCAAAGAGCGAAACAAAAATAATTGACATAAAAATATGAACTTTACTTTTTTCAATGAGTTTTGGTGTTGATTGTCGTGATTGTATTTCAGTTATTTTAATTTGTTCATGTTGTGCACCAACAGATGATTGTCTTGATGTTTTTTTTGAATCACTTGTTAAACTAGGTATAACTTCATAAATTCGTTTTGGTTTATTTGGCCATATTTGACTGCTAGTACTACTATTTCCTTCTTTTGTTGTTGCTGTTGAATGTGCTGATGTTTGTTGAACTTTTTTATTCATAGGTGACGTTATTATTGGAACAGGTTTTTTTACTGGAACACTAACTGCTTTAGTAGTCTTTGTTGTTTGTCGAAAGAGATTTTCATCTTGATTCTAGAAGAAATAATTTTATATTTATTTGTCATAAAAAAATAAAGAGAAAATTTCTTACATCTAATTCTATAATAGGTGAAAAACGTGGTGGTATATAACGTTGTAATGAAGGTCGTCGTTCAAGTGAAGTTAAGTCTCGATCGATATCATTTATTGTACGTTGAATATCAGTTAATAATTGATCTCTCAAAACGTGTGCCGTTGCAAGACGAACATCACTTACAGATGGACGTTGATTTATATTAGGTGGTACATATGTTGATGGTAAAGGCGGTGCAACAATAGCTCGTCGTTGTTCTAATGGTTTAATATTATCAAATATAGATATTGGTTCGCCTAAATCAGAAATCGTATTTGCTGATGATGATGGTAAATCTTGAAGAAATGATGGTGGTTGATAAGAATGTTGATGACGGGGTGAGCCATATAAAGAAGCTGGACTTCGATTAGGACTTGTACTTGAATATTGAATTTCATAAAGACTTTGTTGTGCTTGTTGTCGAGTACGTAAACGAGGATCATAATATTGATAATGTGCATTTCGGTTTATACTATTTGAGGAAGTATTTCGAGATGATGGTGAACTTGTTGGAGGTAAATAAGCATAATATCTATTATCATTATTTTCACTTTGACGACGCATGTTTAATATTGTATAATTATTATTTAAATTTTTCTGTAAAATAAATCATTGGTTTTTATTTTAGTAATAAACATGTAAAAAAAATTAATGTTAGTTTTGTTTTTTAACGAAACATAATTTTGTATGTCTTTTCTTTCTTTTTTTTCTCATATGAAAATTTCATTGAATAAACAAATATTCACTTATGTTTAACGTTTATTTGCCACGCTGTCTCATAACTACTTTACTTTTTTTTTGTTTCTTTTGTATTTCTTTTTACTACTACTTTTATGTAAGTGTGATCGACGTATACTTACCTTGTACAATATGGAATTACGTAAAGCATGGTAACACATTGTTGCCTGATGTTTTGAATAGAAACATCATGTTGATGAGGAATATTTTTCAATTTTTTTCAAACATATATACATATAAAGGTTGTATTTATTTTTAATAGCATATGTTTCATTGAATAAATTTTCAATATAATCTTTATTTCGTTTTTTTCTTTTAATATGTTCACTAAAATTTAGTTATGAATTATGAAAAGAAATTCTACTGAATTGTTGTAGCTTTGAATAGTGATATTTGATGTGGTATTGTGATATGTTCTCAAATTCTTGTTTAACTGCATGGTTTTTTTTTATTTAATCAAGAATAAAACTTTGTTAATATTTGAACTTTTGTATTTACTTAGTATGAATTCCTTTAACAATGTTTGACAATTGAAACCAAATTTTTTTCCTATGTTCATCATTTAATCATTTGAGTATGAGTTTATTGTTGAAGAATGAAAATTTCATATGGATCGTCTTCAAACTTACTGCTAGTTTGTATATTTATTATGTGTTTGGTGATTTTGTTTTTCTTAGATCTTTAATAAAATGCAGTCATATTTCGTGAATAAAGGATATAAAAGAAATACAAAATAGTTCGAAATAAACTATGTTGTTGTTTTGAACAAAATGCATAAAACAGCTTTCTATTAGTAAATTGTATTGGCATGATAAATTGAAAGTAGACCTAAACAATTTCTGAGTAGATATTTTACTATACTAGACACTTGTGTTTAGCAACACAAGTTTCGTAACATTTCTCTGACTACAAAAAGAAATACATATTCTATAGTTTAATGAATAATAAAATTGGCTTGACTCATTGAAAAAGTTCAAGTCTACTTTCAGTTCTGTATGAAAGATAGGAATTCAGAAAAAGATCACAATATACTCTAATTAACTTACTATATCGTATTTATTTAAATTATATTTGCAAACGATATTTTCGAATGAGTTCAACTGAGAATATATGTACCAATAGCATCACTCAACATTTTTCAGTTTAATGTCAGTTTCTCCTGAATAGTGAAAGATCAAGAGCTAAAATTCTTACCACTTATATAACTTTTTGTTTTACATCTATTGTAAAATATTGAGCCAAATCGAATAGCTTATGGACATATTATACAGCAGACAATTTTCAAAGTGCTTTTCGACAAAAGGAGTATATTGATCTTTTTTCACAGGTACTATTGGTTTTTCTCTGAAACAAAGCTAATAAAAGAGAACTTTTTTCACTAGTTTGTTATTGTAAGAGCTCTCTCTTCTTATATGGGTTGTGTGTCGCCAACTTTATTGTAAAGCGAGTTAGAATTGAGTTTATGTCACTTCACGCCAATACATACAAGTGTCTATTAAACAATGTGGGTGTTAGACAAAGGAATAAAGAATGAATAAAATTTAAATCAACTACATATTCTGATAAAGCATCGAACGTTGTACAAACTCAGCTATTTACATCCTCTTGCTTTTGTTTCATTGTAGTCAAAAAAATTTCCTTTTCTTTATACATGTCACTACAAAATGACATTTTTTTTGTAATATGTTTCTTATAAGTCATCGATTGTATGAACTAAAAAGTTGGAATTTGGTGTGCGTATAGAAAATACAGAATGGAGTAACATATAAAAAAATTATTTCAACCGATTAATCAGAACAAAAGTTATTAGCCAAATATAGTTAAAGTCTCCCTCATATCGAAAAGTTGTCATTGACTCATATACATGTCATAGGTTAAATTCGTGTCTAATTAGATTCAAAATTACGTGATAAATTTCTTTTATTTGAAAATAAGTTCCAAGTGTTGCTTGTGTTAAGAATACCTAACACATACCTACTTTCTTTTTACTAGATTTGTTGACATTTGCTGAGGCAAACTAAATTTCAATAGAAAAACAATGGCGAACTCTACAACTTCTGAGACTTGATTGCATTTCAATAGACGATTTATATGTATGAGTTGGGGATGATCGACTTATGACCCCGATAACCTTCTATATCAAAGCAAACATTCAATAATATTTATGAAATGCGATCATTCTGTCAAGATCTTTCTTGCAGGTATCATTTCTTGCATGTGTATTGTTATACGAGACATCACTTTGTGTCTCTAGTTCTTTATCGAAAGAGAATATCAAATTGACCGATATTTTAATTCATGGAATCGTATGATAATTATTTCAAATTTTAAGAGGCGATCAGGAACATGCCTAAGTTTTCATGTCGTACTAATTGTTGTCTCATAGTACTTTTATAGAGAATGTACAATAGACAAGAATTTTCAAAATTTTTCTTTCAAATCTGTGTGTAGCTTCACAATCTATTTTCAAAATAAACTTACTTGTATATTTCTCTATTAATATATATTGAAAACAAACGATGATTATTATTTTTTTATGTTTATTTAAATTAAAAATATATAACTAAGTAATTAGATGAGTATTGATTAATCATATTTAATGATTTACTCTATCAATCATATATTGAAATATTCAATTCAGAGATAATATCATAGAGCAGGTTTCCTTGCACTATTCCAATGTAGAGCAGAACGAGCAAAAAAAACAAAATATAGATTATTTATTGAAGTTTGTCTCAGTTGAAAGTATCTGAGCTATTGAGATTACCAATAATATTCTCCATACATGTATTGAAATAATAGTTTAATTTTTCGAAGCTAATGAAACAAAATTGAATTATTTAAAAACCTCTCTGGATTCAATACAATAAAAAATCTCATATTTAATTGTTAAGATCATTATTAAGTTCATTTTTCTTTGTTTCATTAATCTGAACAAAACTAATCTTAACATCTAAAATATATTCGTTAATAGTCATCGAACTGTTTCTCATACTAGGAAGAAACGAACGCACAATCCGGAATCATCATTAAAGCTGATATGAAACACGATACAATACATTTATAGAATGTAAAAGGAGAGTAAAAGGAAGACAACTACACCCATTCTCAAAATAATACACCCAAAAAAAAGGTTTTTTCTCTATAAAATATTACACATATTAAGGTCAGATTAGGTTACGAAAAATAATCACAAAAGTAGACAAAAAAAAGTACTGTTTTTTGATATACGTGACGGATATAACGAAGAAAAATTAATTCGATGAGGAAAACAAAATACACATATGTCTCATCAAGGTTGTAAGTTTTCTTGTTTGTTTAGAGATGATTATTCATTTTTTTTATTGCATTAGCTCACACTACCCAATGGTTTAAGACCCATCATAGCTTCAGCAATGCCTAAATAATAAACCATTTGTGCAATACCAAATAAAGGTGCAATAACCATGACACGTAGAAGTGAACCTTTAAAGAAGGCACTTGAACCTTCTTCCTTCATGATTTTTCTACAAATAAAAAGTATAAGATAAATATTAGAACAGTAACAGATTGTTTTACTTACGTAGCACAATCGATGATACCTGAATAACGATGTTTGTATTCTAATGTTTGTAAACGAGTTTTGACAACTAAATAAATCAAATTCAATAATAGATACAATAAGTACAATTTATCTTAATTTATTAGAACTTTTAAAAAAGCCTGATGCTGAATTAAGAAGTTCCAACCATATTCATATGTTAATAAGAAGAAAGTGCAATAGAATAATATGAAATAATGATTAGGAATCATTATATCATTCAAAACCATTTTAATATCAAATGGTAATTATTAAACAAAATAAAATTTTTTATTCATTCATTTTGATATTAGATAGTGTTTTATAAAAGCATTAAAATAACAAGGTCTTTTTTTTACTCTGATTATTTAGGTAATCTTCTTAGGGTCTACGCATGATAGAAATTAATCAATCCTAAAGAATAGAAGAGAAGACAATATTTCATGCAGAAAAAGTGCTTTAAATTTTATAACGAAAAGAAAACAAAAAAAGTCATTTATTTACTCGAAATGAACATCGAAACTTGACATACCTCAATGTTACTCTATAATATTTCTGTATCTTATGATATCGTGTATAATTTAGCAGTAAATTTTGATCAAGTAAATTTTTTAATAAAACATATTGAAGAATTATTTTATTTAAATGCAAAAAAAATCTCTCAAGTATGTTTGATGAGTGGTTCAAATTTTATTTTAGTAGCGATATGAGCGCTTTGCAATTAAATTAACTGTTATGACAATTAATTTTTCAATTGTTTAAAAGAGCATGTCAAGATGCCGGCCGTGACAGACTTCCATTTTTTAAATTGAGCTTTGTTATTACTACATAAAAGAATACTTTTATAATTTGAGCGTTACGTTTTTCGATACATAGAGCTTTTCATCCCTTTTCTTCACTTGAAAAATAATAGTTTTTAAAAAATGCTCTGTCATATCTTCCATCCTGACATACTTCTGTCAACAAACATTAAGTATATATATTGAAGACCTATAAAGAATTTTAAGTTGCCAAATGAACTAATGTTGACGCTTGTTTGTTGCATACTCTTAAAAACGTTATCATAGACTCTCCACTACTTTCCCAACATACACTGAAAATGTCATATGATTGAGATGTACTTAACTCGAGAACGATTTTTGACAAGACCGTGACCATAACGAGTTTTACTAATGATGATAGAGAAAAAGCTTACTAAAAACGTATGCTTGATATTTTTAATAATATTAAACAATCAGCTCAAATCAAGATAGCGATTTTAACATCTAATGAAATTTTCTTTTACCAAAGTTGCATAGATAAACTATGATGGTAAAAGTTCTGAAAAACTGGACATGATACTTTTCAGATCACAAAAGCTATTTTTTAACAATGCTATTTTAAATAGTACAACATTCTATAAATAGTATAGAAAAAAAAGACAAAAATTCGTTGATATTAATTTTTTTTCTATCATCTCTCGTGTGTCTGTCAAAACTCTCAAAATCTTTTCACTTAATCTCTGAACTATGTATGACTTCATTCTGTGAATAAATTGAATAGAAAAGCATATTGACATGTGAAATCAAAATCTAAAAAACAAAAAATTAATTCTACACACGTTCTAGCCTTGATTCTCATTGCAACTTGTATATAAAATGTTCATCAATAAAAATTTTACTTAAAAAAAAAGATATCTTACCATCGAATGGTGTTGCTAGAAAAGCGCTAATAGCACCAGCAACAATACCTGATCCAAATGAATGATAAAATGGTACTTGATTATTACCTGGTGTTTTTCCCTGTAATTAGAAAAAAACAAAAAAACATAATACTATACAAAGGAAATTTTCATTTCAACTAACTTTGTCATTAAAGTAAGCAAATAAAGGAAAATACATCATTGAAAAAATAACATCACGAGTAAATGTTGCACCAACACCTTTATATAAACCAAGTATACCTTTTTCACGATATAATTGTATTGCTAATTGTCGAGCATTAGGTGAAAGAGTTGAATCTAGAAACAAAATAAAACAAAACAGATTAAATTAAATAAATTTAAATATTCTTACCTTTTGATTTTGCCATTTGTCGTTGAATTTTAAGTAACTCCATTGGTGTTGTTACAACAATTTGACATGTACCAGCACCAGCACCAGCTAGAATTTGTCGATGCATAGGAAGTGATCCATCCCTTCAGAAAAAAATATATATTATTTATTTAATTTTTTTATATAATCTATCTTATTTTATTTTATTTACTTGGTTTTTAATGCATAGCGAAAGCCATCATTCGCAACAAGTTTAATTGCTTTTTCTGGTGTTATTAATAAAATGTTGACTGCAGAACCTAAACAAATATTCTTTTATTGAATATTTATAAATCAAAAACTAACAAATAATACTAACCACTATACATTCCACGAAAACCACCACTTCGAAATGTTTTTACAGCACAATCAAAACTAAATCGACATAATACAATCAAATTTCTTATATTGATAAATTATGTTAATTCATATACATATTTTTATAAAGTGGTGGTTGACCAACCATTTTTGATTGATTTTGCATTCGAGTTTTAACTAAATCTAATGGAAATACACATATAACACCAACAATACCGGCTATACCACCATTGATTATGCGTGGTAATAGTCTATTAGAAATAGATAATTGTATTAATAACGAATGATCAGAAAGTTTTTAGACAAGATGCTTATTCACTGTGGGTCTGCTAGCAAACGTTTCCAATAAATTAAAAGGTATGAGTTTGAAACCTCTTTTCGAATATGAGCTTTGAAATTCTGTGCAAAAATAGCGAAATAGTCTTTGAACAAACCGAAAAATTATTTTGGCCAGAACGTGTGGAACGATGCTTCTAGTGAACATGTTTTTTTAGCTTTATTTGCTTCAAAGCATTTCAGACGACCCAAAAAAACTATATATTACGACCAGAGTTTAATATCTCTCTAAAAAAAAAAAGGAACTTTGCAGAACTCCCCGAAAAGGTTCTGTAGATTTCTAAAAGCATCCAAATGTGTTCAAAGTCTCAAAAAAAGGGTAAAAAATTCGACCGAACCTTTTGTAGGTTCTGTGGAGTACCCACTAGCAGAACCATCTCTTACGAAACCTTTTTTTAGGTTCTGTACAGCAAAAAAAGATTTCGTGAGCAAATACAAAACCTTGAGGGTTCAGTACAAAACCATTAGGGTTTCGTACCAAAGGTTAATGGTTTTGTACTGAACCCTCAAGGTTTCGTATTTGCTCACGAAACCTTTTTTTGCTGAACAGAACCTAAAGAAAGGTTTCATAAGAGATGGTTCTGCTAGTGGGTACTCCACAGAACTTCCAAAAGTTTCTGTCGAACTTTTTCACCCTTTTTTTGAGACTTTGAACACATTTGGATGCTTTTAGAAATCTACAGAACCTTTTCGGGGGTTCTGCAAAACTCCTTTTTTTTTAGAGAGATATAGACTTAGAAATGTAAATTCGATAGTTTAGTCGAATTTCCACAAGAACCAAAATTCTCTCAAAGCTCATACTCGAACATGATTTAGGATGTACCCAAGAAAAGCAATCCTTGCACAGGATTCCGGTCAGGATTTCGTCGGAATCGGATAAAAACTGACGAAATCCGACAGAATCCTATCGGATTTTGCATGTGCCCGATCAGATCCGACAGACGGAATCCTGCCCATGGGATTCCGACAAAAATCCGACAGGATACAGACGCAATTATTTGAATCCGACGGGATCCGACCGAGTGAGAATCACCTGGGTATAAGGCAAAAAATCATTGAAGCCGGAAGGGAGCATCTGAGCAGATTTCCTCATCAGCTGTAGCTTTTACTCACGCATTTTTTTAAGAGCTTCTTCTAACCTAAAATGATTGTCGATATTTCGAAAAAGATTAATTAGGAAAAAGAAAATTTAGAGTGCCTTATCGAAAGACAAAATGCATTTTGTAGGGTAACTTCTGATTTACAAGCTAATATATCAGTAAAGATAACAGATTTTAGTTTCCAACCGCAATGGTAAAAATATAAAAAATTTTCATCCAAATTAATTTTTAAGGCTTCTCAAGAACTATGTCATTTTTGTTGAGCAAAATATCTGAGCCCATATTTGAAAAGAGCATACTAATTCATAACTTTTGACTGGTCGGAAATACTTTCTCATTGATCAAAAGCGAACAAATATCTTATATATAAACTTACCGATCACATGTTATTAAATGAAAAACTAAACCTACCCAAAATCTTGCTTTGGTCCAGATGCCATGACTTATATTATTTGAGACTTTACGTCTCACAGTTTATTCTAATAAAATTTGAATTATATACAATATAATCTACAAAACAAAAATGATTTGATATTGTTGTTTGTTTAGTTATATGAATACACATACTCATAGCTAGATGCATTTTATAATTATTATGCAACGAATAAATGAACAACAAGCTTAAAATTATATGTATAACACAAAAGAATATCACACATAAAAAATAATCAATTTTGAAAATCAAAAAAAAAACAGTGGAATGAATATTTGATTTCATTTTTCCAATAGAATTTATCAAATCAATCAAGATCAGATAAATTTTGTTTTGTTTTTCTTTTTTTTTTGTTGTTGTTATTGGAATGTATGATAGGTGAAAGACAAAACAATAAATAAATGAAGACAGATTTTCAAAACGAATAAAATATATTGATTATTTTAGAAAAAGTTCTGTATAACGTGCAATTAAAATTTCTGTAAACGTATTAATAAGTGCATAGTTAGCCAACGTATTCATTTGAACATCTTCGGACCATGATAAATTAGGTCCAAAAACAATCGATAAATTCGTCGTCGTCATCAGATTTGTATTTGAATAATTAGCCACCTGAATTTAAAAAAAAAGTTTAACCACGATTCATCAAACATCAATTCGATATAGAATTAAGTAGCATAGAAAAAAAAAAGATATTTATTCTTTTCAATGATAAGCATCTCAATAGGAACTTTTACTGTTTTAATAGCAACATTATGTATATGAAATCGAAATCTTTTTGATTTTCAATTAGCCTTGTATTTGATCTAGAGATCATCTCTTTCTGAATTTATGAAGAACTTATTCTGGAAAAGTAATCATTATTAGCTGACTCATAAGACATAGTGATTACCGTTTACCTAATTTTTCTTTGCTTTGATATATCAATATACAGCAGCATGCAAAAGAAAGATGCTGTTAGACTTTTCAACATTTCTCTTACTGAATACAATGCATATTGAAACTTTTTTTTTATTCATCGATTAAACATACAGTATAGTGTACAAATATAGCAATTAATAAACGATTTGCTATCTCTTCGATTCAACAAGAGCAAAGCACATGACTTTCTTTTCCAAGTCATCAAATATTTTAGAGTTCAGATGCCAACTCTATCCAGTTGTTTGTTCAAAAATCTTTTTTTATTCATCTCATCTCTTATAGACATGTTGTTCGATAGCCGATCATAACTTTTAAACTAAACTAAAATCAGTACCATTCAATAGCTAGGTAATAGTTTCTTGTAGATATAATGCTAAAATTGCTTTGCTAACCTTGATGCGTCACAATGCTTCATTCTTAAATCTTGGAAATTTTATGTCAGATAATTCAAGCAAAGGTCTTCTTTAAATAGATAGTTTTACATCGCATTACGATAATTATTAATCTAGTAGTGTTGGAAAAGTGTCAGTCTTGCTGAAGATACAAAACTACTTCCTGATGTTCGTAAGTAGTCCTCTTAAGAATATTGCTTAAAAAAAAACTTGAAAAATCGATCTCGACGAAATTCGTGTGTTCAACAGCAGTTTTTTTGCCTTCTATTATAACAATACTTCTTAATCATTAGAATATCAATGAAAGATTTGCTTTAAATTTATACAAAAACTCATCTTTTTCCATCTTACCAAATTTAAAAATTCAATCAAATATTTTAAAACATTATAATTCTGTGTTGGTAATTTTTCAATAATAAGATCTCGAATAACATCAACTTGATCAAATCGTTCAAGTGCTAAACAAAAAAAAAATCTTCATTATAAAATTATTTCATAAACAAAAAAGTATTTGTAAATTAGTTATTTAGTTCAACAAAAATCATTTTAGTCGATTTTTTTTTTGTTTTAATGTTTAACTAAAGCTAAATTAAGAAAAGTGCAATATTAATAAAATAATACAATGTGTACCGCATTGAAGCAAAGAAAGAAACCGAGAAGATGTGGCCAACTAAGAACTTTGCACACCACAACAATAATGGATAAATATAAAACTATAACATACTCACTACCTGAGAGACCAAGAAGTTCAGGATATAAACGATATGTCATTAATGGTTCAGATAAATCTCGTAAAAATGTTTTTAAAACACATGCTGCTAAATGAACATCACCATACTGTTCGAATATAACTGGTTGACCTATTTATTATAGTATATCATTGAAAATAATGTTCAGTTAAAAAATATTTCTATCAAACCTTCATTATATTTCTGTTGTATTTGTTTAATCAATGAAACAGCTGCAGCTCGTCGAAAAATTCCTGGTTCATTAAGTCCTACAGAATAAAAAAAAAAACAATAAAAAGTTTTATTAAACAAAAAGAAAAATGAAATTTATTGACCACAATTTTTAATATACTCAATTGTTTGTCGAACAACAATTGGTACAGTTTCACCTGGTTCATTCTCTAGAACACTAAATTGAATTTCATTTTAATTATCAAAAATATATCGATTTAATCAAATTACAATTGAAGTGAAACATGAAATTTTGTTGTCGGTCGTATTTTATTCGTTGGTGATGCCAAACGAATAACAGGATCAAAACTATATTCATGAAAGATTTAAAATTTTCTATATAATACAATTGCTATTTTGTTTTGCTTACTTTTTAACTTCAACAGGTATTCGAATATTTTCAAGATGAACATACTCTTCAAGTTGACCAAGATGATTAATGTAAGTTACTTTACGCGAGAATTTTGCACTTAAAATTGAAATAAAAACAAAATAATTATAAAAGATGTCAACAATGCGACATTCGAGCAGAAGTTTTTTTTTTTATCATGATTATATCGAGTTCGTCAATTTCAATCTAAACATGTTATCTTTGATATATTCGAACAATGTTTTGTAGTGAACCTCATCAGAGATGAAGCCGATACCTACACACAGCGCTCAGACTGCTCAATATCGATGTGTCTTACTGATTTTTTTTGCTCTTACTATGTCATGGAAAATGTATAATGAAACGTTGCTGAAAGTTCTTTTAATCGGTAAAGATTTCAGAGCGATACTGATATCAGTTGTGCGAAATCCAAATCAATTCCATGTCTGGCAAATCACGTTCAGAAAAGTTAGAAAGGCATATGCAAATTGAAATCCACTAAAATTAGAAACCTGGATCGGACTCTGACTCGGAGTGATCGAGTAAAAGTTTTTTCGAAGTCAATATCGGAGTTATATGAGTAAAAAAATCAATTATTTTTACTCTTATATAGTAATAAATCTCGGTAGTCTCGATATTTATCCGAGTTATTTTTTGATTTCATTTATCATATATCGTTAAGAAAAAAATTATACATACTTTGTAAAAAAAAATATTGTTAGAGTTTTAAGAAAATCAACTTTTTTCATATGATACCAAAACGGCATAAATACCGACTTCTATTCGCAGGTTGTAACCATCCAAACTTGAATACCAAATACACAAAAAAATTTCATATTCGGAATTAGTTGAAAAACCTCCATCAAATAGCATACTCACTACGTAAAGCTAGTTTTCGTCAAATTTCGCTTCTTACGCCCCGCCACTGCCATTTTCTAAGTAATAAATCTATATATTGTCATTGTTTTGCGTATTCTTTTCTACTTTGTTGCTTTGCTCTTTCCTGTACATCATTTCTATGTTACCCATTCTATCATGTGCACTTTCCTTTTCTGTCTCATGATCGATGCTTTCTCTCGCTATATTCTATTAGGCTTTTTCTTAATGCGTTCGGATATTATCATATCCAAGCTATTGATCATCAATCTTTAAATAGTGACGGATTTATTTTAAAAAATGAAATGAAGAATATATATGTGCATTGAATACAGTTATCTTTGACTATTATTCAGTGGAAGCAACTATTTCTCGACTGAAATAACTTCACATATTATCGAATACTCTGACCTGATCTTTGCTTAACTCGAAATTTGACAAAAACTAGTTTTAATTAATGATTATACTATTCGATACAGATTTTTATGCAAAATCTGAATATAACACTCATTTCATTTGGAATTCAAGTTTCAATTATTAAAAACTCTGAGTAAAAATTTGTATTGATGTCATTGTGCTCTCATATAAAAAAAAAACGATTTTCTTAAAAATCAAACAATATTTTGAAAAATCATAAATAATTTTTTTTCCTAATTCTATGATGAGTAAAATAAAAAAAAAATTCGAATAAATATTGAGACTATCGAAACTTGATGCTTTTGGTGTATTTCAATTTCCACTACAAATATATGCCTAAAATAAAATTTTTAGAGATAATTCAACGATCTCTACCCAACCATGACAAAAATGACAATTTTTTTTTCAAATTTTCGATTGCTAGAATTTTATAACAAATGATAGAATAAAAATGTTCTACCTTATTAATGAACGAAGAACTGGCCAAAGAAATTTAACCCATTTTGTTGGATGTACTACATAAAGTGCTTTTAAATTTTTCTTGTATCTAAAAGAAAAAAAAATCGATTGTTTAAAGAACTATTATTTTATATTTAAAAGAAAAAAAAAACTTACTTTCGATCAATTTTAAGATAGGATTTCATTAACCATCCATATGATGGTCGATTATATGAACGTAATCCATAATGAAAATAAATCAGAACATAATCCATATCAACATATTGATCAAATGCTTGTAAAAAATATCTTATTTAAGAAAAAATAAAATAAATGTTCTTTTTTTCTTATTTTTTGAAAATAGAAATTCTTTTTACTTAAATAAACATTCACGGAATTTAATAACTGTTTTAAATTCACTGTTTCTAATAAGCTCTTCATTCGGCAAACGACATGCTGAAAAAACAATTGTTTTTCGACCAAATTTATCATCACCACAACATTCAATAATTCCATATTCAGCTATTTTTGTCATTAATTGATAATCAACATCTTCTGTATCATGTAATTCCTTTAAATATAAACAAATATTAATTAAAGGATAGGTACCCATAAGATGTCAATTTAGTCCACTGAATGTTTTCGATCACTTTATTGATGAAATAAAGCGATTTTTTTAATAAGAAAGTTACGAAAAAACTGTTAAAATTAAACTTTCATTGAACTCTCACTTGTTTAGAATTAGTCTAAAACGAACATTTTACTTTGTGCCTCGTTTTATTGAAAAACTACTATTACTTTAATTAAAAAGTTGGCTATAAGAGATATCATTCTTTGAGCAAGCTATGGTTCAATAGGCTCACAAGCAGATACTAATTAGAATCGTTTGGCTTATTTTATCTTTGTGTAAGCCATTGTCTCTTATATACTATTGGCACGAAAATATAAGTCAATCGATATATTTTTCAAAATCTTAGGAGTAATTTTATTTTCATGGAAAAGTTCAGCCAAGACTTCCATCAGACTCGAGTCAAAAAAACGACCCTAATAAAAAGAACCCCATTCTGACTGTAAAAACAAATTCTATACTTCTTACAAATTAAATAGATTTAGCAGAATAATAGGTTAATTAATAAGAACGGCCTTGTAATTAACTTCATTATTTTAACCTCACTCCAAGAAACAAAAGGATGTAGGCTTCGGTTTTCTCAGCATTTATAGCCACACTAATATTTGAATATCTACAACAAAGATTGTATCATATATTTATCATATCTCGCGACAGATTTGGTATCCTAAATTTCTGGATTTCCAACACCGCTGCAGTCGTTTAACATTTGTGGATAACCAAAGCATTTTCAAAGCTGGAGTTGATCTGTTATCTAAATTTCAATAAATTCTTGAGTTTTGAGGCTTTCTTGATATTAGCGAGTTCCATGAGTTCAGAACACATGGAATCGGGACACGCTTCTTATGCGATACCTCAAGTGGATTTTTCGATGAAAATGAAATTACTTGCCAGATTTTGAAGAGTATGTGAATTGACTTAGACTTTCGTGCTGATTTCAAATGTATTAATGATTTTGATAAAAAGTCAGATTAATCTCATCCAATATGTTCAACACTAATTCAAAAGGTGCCCTGAAAATAATATGTGCACTTTAGGATTTTGTGAATAAAATAATAGTGGTTATTATATGATATGATGCAGTAAAAAAGTATGTTCGTTTTGGGTTAATACGAAGCTAGTGAGGGTCCAATGAAAGTGCAAACCTTACCATTTTATGTCAATTTATTATTTAAACAACTGCTATATTTCATCAATAAAGTGATCGAAAATATTTTATGGCTCAAGTCAACATCTTATGCATCTCTTTTATTTTAAGACAAGAAAAAGAAAAACTTTTACTAACTGTTTGTTCATTTCCACCTAATTCTGATTCAAAGTCATCATCGATAATTCCATCTGATGTTATATTTCCTTTGATTAATCCTCGATTTTTATTTGAATTCAATGCTATGCCATTATCATATGAATCTAAATGTTAAAGCAATAAATTATATTATCAAAGAAAGAAAATAGAAATAGAACATGGTCAGTAAATTCAAAAGCGTTATTTACCGCCGCTAATATTTTCATCACCAATGAAATTCAAATCTTGTTGTTCATCGTCAAAACCAAGTTGTTGCCGTATATCGGCACCTTCTAAGAGAAGAAGCGTCCATAAAACAATATTAGTAAAAGCATTAGAATATTAAACAAAAACAAAAAAATGAATTTAATATATATGTATGTTCGATGTAAAAGCATGAGCTATTAGTTAATCTAATTTAAACTAAACCATTTTTTATTCTTACCGTAATCTATTTCATAATCATCGAGTTCTTTACAAAAATATGAGAGATAAGATTTATTTTAGAGATATATTTATTTATTTAAATAGATTTGAAAGCAGAAAATAAATGATTACCTTGATCAGCAATTAAATCAATATGATGTTCATCATATTCAAGTTGTGGAGGATCTTCAATACTTGTACGTCCTGTTGGAACATTATTCCAATAAGGATGTTTGTCTAAATTTTAAAAGAATTCAAATAAAAAGATTTTCGTTTTCAATGAAAAGCATTCATAGCAATAAGTAATCAACATCGAACTGTTTATTTATGTGGAATTAAGCAAAAACAAAGTCAAAAAACTTTCGAAATCTTATTTATTCGACCAATATTTTGTCATAATAAATTTATTTTTCAAAATCAAATTTTTTTTTCACTACCCATAGTAACAAATTGAATAAAGTGAAAATAGTAATCAGCAATATTCAATTAATCATTACATATCATAATCCATGCATGATTACTCATATTGCAATGTTTAGTGCGTGAATATTTTCATAAATATACAATATTGCAAAAATTATACTAATCTTTCAAGTAAGTTTTTATATGTATTTAAGCAGCAAATCTCGAACTCTTTACTCTGAGGAAAACCGCCAAAACGCATACATGAACATAGATACGAAGACCGTGTGCTGTAACTGAAGGAGATGAATCATATTCGAGTCAAATGAACGCTCTTACTGCTAAATTAACTATAATTCACTTCAGAATTTAGTGACCGTAGGTATTATGTGAATTATTAAAAAACAAAACCCAAGAAAAAGTTCTCCTTACAGTATTATCTAGAGTCGATATTGCTCTATTTTTTTAAATAAAGTCAATTAAACTTTTAACCATTTTTTCGTCTTGGACACATAATGAGTTTTAGAGGTAAATCGAATCTTCTTCAAAACCAATGCGATTTCTCATCTATAATATGATGAGCAGATAGCCTATCTTTTCCTCTATCAAGCTACGCAAGACAGATATTGATAACTGTTTGCGTCCAAAAAGGATTTTCGAATTAGACACAACGGAAGCAGGCAGGGACAAAAATCATATCAAACAAAATGAAATAAAGTTGACAAAGGTCGATATTCATGTGGCAATGATTGAAGAGCAACTGAAAGATCATAATGACGATGATTATGTCTCTCAGAGTACAGATCATGCTGATAATTGATGACTTTCAAAGTGAATTTACTTAAACATCTTAAAATTCTTTTTGCTTGACTAATTTGAATTCAAAAAATTATTTCGACAGAAATACAAATAAAATAAAGTTTGAATATGATTAACTAAAAATAATGATACATTATGATCAAAATAAATGCAATGTATGGTTCACGGTGATATTATGAGCAGGAAAAGAATTTCCGAAAATTAATTAACCTTACAGAAGAATTAATTTCTTAGCTACTCAAAGTTTGAAAAAATATGGGTGAGTAAGCATTAGTAAAATCTTTCTATTTTTATAATGCAAACAATTATCGAGCTCGATCTTGTGTGGATCGAGAGAGAAAAACACAGGTCATGTGTCCATCATACTATGAATGAGAAAGAACATTATTTTTAAAGAAGATTGGTTTCATCTTCAAAAATCGTTATGTATCCAAGACGAAAAATGCTTGAAAGTTTTAATTGACTTTATTAAAAAAAAATACAGCAATGTCGACTTTAGATAGTACTAAAACTAGGGTTTTTTCTTGATTTTTGTTTTTCAACTATGCAAAAAAAAAGTCTACGGTCATTTGAATCTGAAATGATCTAGAATTTAAAATAAGACCTGTCCGTAGTGTATACACAGATCGAGATATTCAAATTTCAACGTATGATTTCGAAATCAAATTAATTTTCTCTGAAAATGTTTACAAACTCAAAATGAAATTCATGTGGACGAATAAGAGAAAATGTGGGCTACCTTTTTAGGAAATGAAGTTTTTCGAAGGTAAACTTTCTATACAGTAACTTGCCTATCTTACATTAGATATGATATAATACATATGTTAACTCTTGATCTCCATATTTACTTGAAATCTTTTTTTGAACTACGACATTAGATCATTAGGACAACGCTCTCAAGCCAGCGATAATTTTTGAAAATTATCTTGAGAAACAAATGTCTCAATGATCTAATGTTATAGTTTACAAAAAGCTTTTCAATTAAATACGGAGATAGAAAGTTGACAAATATATCAAGTCCTATCTATCGTAAAATAGAAAAGTTACTTCATAATGAGTTTACCTTCTAAAAATTTCAATTTCTAAAAGTAGTCCATGTTTTCTTCTGTTCATCCATATGAATTCTATTTTGTTTGTAAACATTTTCAAAGAAAAATAATTTGCGGATATACTACCAACAATGATTGTACTTTTAGAAAAAAAAACGCTGGTCAAAAAATATCTTTTTAATGAAGTTACGCTTATAGCAAAATCATACGAAAAATTTTGTCTACCATTTTATTTATAGTTTATATCATGTGCCCGCACCTTCGCAATTACAGCAGCATTGCTTTCTTTCGTTTTCTCGTCATGGTTGGATTGCTACCGGCAAAATATAAGAAAAAAAAACAATTTATCGCATAATTAAAAATAATTTTACCAAACTCAGAACTTTGTATTGATTACTTTGCTATTGAATAATTGCATCGTGGACCTTTTCATAAAGTTGCTTTGACATATGTATGATTTTGTTTTTTTTTTTCTTTATGTAACTTACCGAACGCTATTTAATCATGGCAAAAATAGAAAAATAAATGCTGCTGCAATTTTGAAGTCTGAATTCATGATACCTTGACATTAGAATATCTCGATCTGTGTATGCTATGCGCAACTAATGTATGACATTAGTCAGTTTGAAAGTGTGAGTATTTATTTGATTCGAATAAGATAGATATCTTTAACTTACAGTAAATGACTTATGGTCGCTAGCGAAAGAAACCAGAATATAAAGGAAGAAACAGCATGTGCATGTATGTTAATCTAGAAGTGTCTTAATAATGTATGAATAAGTATATTTAATCTTCAAATTCGTAATTTATTCCTCGTATGCTCAATCATGCATTCTTAATTGGCATAAAACCAACTGTTCTTTTAAAAAGTTTTGTAGCGTGAGTAAATAAATCATCAGAACAAGAAAAAAAAGACTCATTTCATACTATACGATGCATTAGCCGCAAGATTTTTTTCTTGTAAGCCTTTTTATGAATAAGCTTGTATGCCTTAAGAGAAGATTTTTATAATGGAATAGAAAAAAAACCAGTTAGTTAATGCATTTTTTCAGAAACTAATCGTCAACAAAAGAAGTAAATCATGTATACAGGAATACCTTGTTTTTTAATCATTATTTGTTAAAATTTCAAGACTCGAATAAAATTCTATATTATAAAAAGAAATAAAAATAAAAATTCTATGAATTACCAGCTGGTAATAAGTTCATTGGAATTTCATTATTTGAATAAATATCATCTATATTACTATGTGAAGTGTTTGAAGCTTTATAAGCATCTTTTTGAGCCATATCTGATGAATTCTGTATTAGCACATCATTACTAGTTAAATTAGTTGTATTATCTGTTGATGCTGATGACATAATTTAAATTAAAAACTAATTATAATCTAAAAGTTCGAGGAAAACAAAAACCTCACATATTTAATTTCTCGTTTAAAAAAGAGAAGAAGAGAATTATTGTTAAAGCAAAGAAATAAGATCGAAAGCGCTATAGAAACAAACGCAATCTGTACGGTTATCACAAAAACTCTTCAAATAAATATATTTCAGGCAAATAGAAAGAGAAAAACAAAAAAAAAAAAGAAAATAAGAGAAGTGTTTATCAACTTGTTTAAATAAAATAAATCACAAAACAGATTAATATGGAAACAATATTTTACACAAGAACTGTTCATTTTAATCAATTCGTTAATGCATCTAAAATAAAATATAAATTGAGTAAGACAAAATATATTATATATTTAAATTCTCTTACGTCGTTTTAATGGGCTTGGTCCTTCACACATTTCACATACATCTTTATGTGTTTTACTGAACGATTCATTGTAATATGTACAGATTTCACATGACCATGGTAAATAAATTCGATCTTTTTCTTCTGTAAGTTGTAAAAACAAATTCATTTATGATAAGACGAATAATGTAAGAGAAAAACATGATATACCTTTTAATCTACGTCTTTCTTCTAGAAGTTTGGCATTTTTTTGCTGTTCCTCCTTATAACGAACATTGATATCGAATTCTTCCTAAATTAAAAAAATATAACACACTTATATGCATATATAATAAAAGGTGCTCTATAACAATTGCGAATAAAGTTTCAACTTACTTTTTCTTGATGTAGAAGGCTGAAATTTTAATCACATATGTATCTAATCAAAATCTTTATTTGACTTTAGTTTCAGCTTTCTAGCTAAAACTAGTGTTGAAATATGTAGGCCTGAAAACACATGAAATGCCGTACTAAGTTTTTGTTACGTCGTTAACCGAGACAAAGCGACTTAACGATGTGCAGTTTCAATAAAATATTCAACAATAATTCAGTGACGTTTACACAGAAATAAAAACCGTTCTATACAGATCAGATCAGACCGACTGATCTATTGGTACTGGTTCCATCTCTAATTGATGTTTTTGAAAAAATTCGTTCCAGCAGATGCTCATGTATTTTATTCTTGTTCGCATATTTCAACAGTAGTTTTAGCTACAAAGCTGAAACTTTGGAAAATTAAGGGCTTTGATTAGATATCCAAATGTGATAAAAAATTTTAGTCTTGTACATCAAAAAAATATATATCAAAAATTTATCCTGGGTTATTATAGAACAGTCTTTATATATTTATTTGTTAGCTTACGCTTTCAATTTGAGCTAAACACATTTGATATTTATGACGTTCATTGATTCCATCTATTTCATAAACTGCTATTCGTTCAAGATCACTTTTTTGTGCTAGAACTACATATAACAAAATAATTATTTTTCTTTAATTAATCAAATTTATAAATTCTATCTAGGTTTAATTACTGTATTCATTATCACTAAGTGTCGATCGAACAATTTCAGTCCATTGTGAATCATTATTTGATGAATTTGTTGATGAACACGAGTTCGTTGCTGATAATTGTGTATCTTCTACATTAGATTCATCATAAAGAGGTGTGGCACATTCAACACCAGCTTGTGTTGCTTGAACATCTGGTTCATTATACGTGTCTAAATTATTATGAGAATTGCTGTTCATCAATAATTTACAAACTTTATAGAACATCTTAGTCTATAAATTACTCGTCAAATTTTATGAATTAAAGATATTGAAATAAATTATTCTTGAATAGAATTGTGTTCAAAGAACTGCGTACCTTTTTCTTCTAATTTAACAGACGTCGAGTTCATATTAGTTTTTTTTTCAATGCCTTCAAGTATTCTACTTCTGGTTACATATAGAAGAAACAATTTGACCAGAAGTGGTACACAAATCACTGATGACGCCCAATCACTGAAACTTATGTAACTGACTCACGTATCTAAAAGGAAGTATAAAATGTGGACGATATTATTCAATATGTCTGATAGGCAGCATAACATTTTCTTTCAATATTTGATCATTAAAAAATTTATTCGAATGAAGTTGTACTGAAAAATCTGACATATCTGCATAAATGGAAAGGTTTGCCTGTCAGAAAGCAAAAATATCGAATACCGTCTTAGTCACTAATTGGAAAAGACATTTCTTAAGGCCTGAAAATCGGTCATTAAACTATCTTTTATGTCAAACACTTCAAAGCTAAAACAAGAAAAACAGATTAAAAAATGCTGATTCGCTATCGGGCAACTCATTGTCTTTTACACAATTAGTTTCTCGAGGAACATTATTCATATTACTTTGTAAAGAAGTTTTTGATGACATAGAAAAACCAACGAAGAGACCTAGAATAGTTCGAGTCATTCATCTCGAAAAAGCAGAAGTTAATTAATTTAACACCAAAATTACTTTCAATAGAAACTGATCGTTTTCTGTGAAAAACAAATTCAATCAATAAGAAATTCATATCAATCTCTTAACAAAACTTGTAAGAAACATTATGAATATGTTTCCTCTACATCAACAATAGTTGCACATGTATGTTCTCAAAGTAATCTTTTAATCAGATCGCATTATTCAACTTTTGCATGAGATAATAGTTACAATTTAACTGCCATACCTACTTGTAAGAGATATCTCAAAACAAAAGTAAAATTATGTGTCCCAAAAAACTAGTGTTAGATACTTAACCGAGAAACAACTATAGTTCTTTGATTTTTAAGATTTTCTTTTTCTTTTCTGTATGCAATAAGAGATATTTGTTATGTATTCAGACTATGATCATATAGAGGTCATGACTCACTAGAATTAACCCTGTTTTAAAAGGCGACAGTTATTAATAAACACAAATGATGAATCACTTCATGCATTCGTGACATTGGTCTTATCTTGATTTTTTTAATACCACTGTCACGCATATCTTACGTTAATTGTTTGAATATTTATTGATCGTTTGCTAAGAGTGTTGTAAAAAATTGTTTTTATTCACGTCAACATAAGAAGGATATTGATTTAAAAACTGAACGCTCACCAACGTAAATGTTTAATATGATGACTATCAGATGAGATGGTCAGAAAAAGAAGTATAATTTCTCAGAGATTCTAAATTAGTTTATCAATGATAGTCTTTTTTCAAAGGAATCTATCCATCATATAAAGAATGCAAAGAACTACAGACAAATTGACAAAAAAAAACAAGATTTTGATATTAATAAAGATAAAAACTATAACACCAAATGTCTTTCACTTAACACAAATATTTGGAACAACTCTTCTGAGCTTCAATATTTTTTTTTATGATTTGCCTTTTTTGGAGGGGCAATTTAAAAATCGAAGCGAGCGAGCCTGATGCTTGGAAAGGACTAGCTTCCTGTTTCTCCACAATGGATAAAACAATGTGGGATTCGATGATTAAAATACTTGATGACCATTAAACATATTATTTTTCAGTTTAAATCCAATATCATCTATGTCAAATTTTTATCGATGAACGAAAGTTTAGAGCAGCTGTATTTTTAAATCTTTTTGTCGATGGTAATGGATTACATGAATCTGAAAAATATTTGGGTAGCTAAAAGGATTCTCTATTAGGATTGTTAAATTCAAAGGCTTCATCAAAATTACTTGAATGAGAACGTGAGAAAAACAAACATTCTAACTTCCATTCGAAGCTTTTGCGTAAAGATTTTACTTCATAGACCAATTGACAAAGATCTATAATCTTGATATATTGAATTGCATTCAATTTACAGACGGCTCTAAAGTCTCAAACATTAAAATGTCTAATGAAAAGAAGAGAAACACGCTTCTTGAACTCTCTGTAAATGAAATTCAGGTCGATGACGGAAGGTCATGGAAAGATCGAGAATATCTCATTTTATTCAAAAATTATTTCCTCTATTAAATAAAATCGTTTTTCGAAAGCCTTGAATGGAAGCCAGAAATCTGATTTTGGAAGTATTGATTTTTCTGAAATCTTCATCCAAACAATTTTATTGACATCTTCTGGTTCATATGTTTTGTCAAATTCTTGTGAGTTTTACCATCGAGAAGAAAACTTTAAAATACAATTGTTCGAAACTTATGTTCGGCATTCTATAAATTATAAAAGCTTATATCTCACACTCTTCTGCATCTTTCAATCTTTTTTTTTATACATTCAGTTCCGTAATCTGTTAGTACTGTTAGACTATAATGTAATTTATAATGTCTTCTAGCAAACATCCCCGTATTGGACGTCTAATAATAAAAATTCTTTTCACAAGAAATGATTGAACATTCCATTCATTAAGCGAAATTTCAAATCACACAATTACAGTTAAGATTCATTTTACTTACGATTAACCACGGGTGATATAGCAAAAGCTAATGGTGATGGTTGTGGTGGTGATAAACTAGGTGTTATTGGTGTAGTTGGTACTAATTGAGCTTGGTTAACATGAGCATTATCTTCATCTATTCGTCCATGTTCACATGGTTCAGAATGACGTGTATGTTGTTGATCAGCATTATCATTTTGTATATAAACGATATCATCATCAGCTTGATTAATTAATAGAAAACCTCGATTTTTATCACTCTCATTTTCATCTTTCTTTGGATTGTCATATCTACATGTTGTAAATCGATTTTTCAATTGATCAATTATATGTTTTCTCTGAGGTGTTGTTGAACAAGACTAAAAACAACAAGAAATGGATGATAAGATTTGTTCATCTTTTTTAATTTTACTGATTCTTGTCGATCAATAAGAGTATTATCGGATGTTACTATTTCTGATTGATTTGTATTGCTATCGCCTTCAGTGTTTGAATTTTGTGTAACTTCAGACATTTCATTTTCATTTGGTGCTTGACTATATAAAACAAAAAGGAAAAGTACTTAAATTGACATACATAATATACAAAGCAAACAAGGAACAGAAACACACGAAAAATGACGACAGCGAATGAGCAAATCATTGAATTAACATTTAAACCTACCAAAGTTCAAAATCCGCATTATTTAAAAGTAATGAAAGTTTCTTTTTTGCTGATTGACTATTTCTTTTAAATATAGTCGGCATCGATCTACAATGATGAGAAGTAGCCAAAGAATTTTTTAGTCCACTGTCAGTTCTACAGATGGAGTAATTTTCTAGGTTTTCTGTTTTTTTAAGTATACGTTAATGATTTACACACCTGTTAGCTGCACGATTTGATGATGGCTTTAACATTGTAAAGTAATTGTGTGAAGCTCTTGCACTAAACAAACAAGGCGATCAAGATATATTTTTCTTTTTATTCCACTTAACAGGTAAGTTAATCACACAAATGTGAAGACTTCTAAAAAAAAATAAAAACAAAACAAATATAGATTGTGAAATTTGATTCGTACAAAACAAGAGAATATAGTTTTGACGCTACTATCAATCGGTATATAAATAGCAAAGGAGGAACACACTGGGGTAGATATGATAGATGTCGTTCAAAATAGTTTTTAGTGCATGTATGATGAAATGAAATTTCAAAAAGAAAATATTTGCTAAATACTTATTTACTGAGCAAAATGAGAAGATAAGAGACAGTAAATAATTTCAGTCAATACTATAAAAATCAAATTATCATAGTTATTCACATGTGACATGTCATGTTGCTTTCTTTGACAGTGAGTCTATGACAGTAAGATAAACGTGGCATATGACGACTGAGTACAATCTATCGACTAGAACAGAATATATGCTTACAGTGATGAGAAGAGATTTTCAAATGATTCACTCTGTTTGTCGCCATATTTTATCAACATACAGAGGACTGCAAGAGTGATGTAATCTCCGAGAGCTTTCCGTTTAGATGCAGATTGAATCGTGATGACGACTTGTTAGTAGATTCTTTTTGTAGGAGTTAAGTTTTCGAAAAAAATTTTTTCAATCTCAAATTTTTTTGCATATAAAGGTCTCGATTAGACTGTTTTCTGGATAGAGTTTCATCAGCTTTGAATATAACATTTCTAAAATATGAATTTCTCAATAAATCTACGTTTTTCTTTAAGAGTATCTACTTCTTTTCAGAGTTTCTGAAAAGTGACTCGTTGAAAAAATTTGTAATTTTCAAAACAGGGAGATTTTGATCAGTAAATTAAACGTTGTCGTAGACTTAAAATTCCGAAATGCTGTCTTCTATGAGATATTAGAATCAGAGACAGAAACGAGTCAAAAAAACATCCGACTCGACATATATTATCAGACGGTCCCCTCGACTCGACTTGAGTCGAGTAAATCAAATCATTGACTGTTGAAGGATCAAAATTTGAGCGCCTCTGGGTCACAATCTAGCTAGCTATACTTAATTGGCGTTCAATCGATCGACATACTTGAAAATATAATGATTGAAATTTATAACAGAAGATATTTGGTAATCGAACAAATATAGAGTTGAAAAGAATGAGAACGATTTTGTCGTAGATTGCGTGTATTGGTTATATATATAGGCTCGTGATCGATTCATCACGGTCTAAGTAATCTCTCAATAGACAATGATACATTGAATACAATGAACGTCAATATATGTCATTCATTTTAGTCTATTTAATGTCTCAGTACATGAAAATCTGTTTATTCTATTGTTTTGTTCGACTGATACATTTCAATGAGTTAATATTGAATTATAAGAATTCACGAA